TCCTAAAATCTGCAGGTGCAGGGCCCGGCACCACAACAATTCATTAGAATCTCCAAGGTGGGACCAAGGCATTGGCACTTGCTAAAGACCGCTGGTGACTGGGATGAGTAGCCAGGTTCAAGAGCTGTGGATTTGAATGACGGTCTGGAGCTGATGCAAGTGGTGAAGAAGAATGGAGGGTGTACAGGGGACTGAGCTCTTCCCTGGGGTCACCCTGACCTGGTTGACATGTAGCAGATGCACGATGTGCAGCAGGACAAGAGCTGTGGATTTGAATGACGGTCTGGAGCTGATGCAAGTGGTGAAGAAGAATGGAGGGTGTACAGGGGACTGGGCTCTTCCCTGGGGTCACCCTGACCTGGTTGACATGTAGCAGATGCACGATGTGCAGCAGGACACAGGGACGTGGATGGGCCAGTGCCAGGTGTGTGTGTGTGTAGATCCAAATGGAGAGGAGATGTGCGTGAACATAGGAAGCGGAGGCTGTGGTCCCAGCCCTCGCTCAGGAGGGCTCCATGGTCGCCCAGAGAGGCAGCGCCCTGCTGAGAAAGGCCTGGCAGGATCCAGAGGGTGTGGCACCTAGTTGGGCTGGAAGGCCTGTGCTGGAGCTGGGCAGGGCAGAGGGAGCGAGGCTTGCCAGGGATGGAAGAATGGGGTTTCTGTGCTGCTTATCAGGACGGTGGCTCTCGGACAGGATGTGGAGGCTTCTGCAGCCCGCCTGGCAGACGGCTGTAGTCAGTGCCGCGTCATGGCAAGGACTTTGGACGGGGAGCTCCACCTCTGACTCGTTGGTAGCACTGGGCTGGCAGCTCTATGGTTGTGCCTGGGGTGAGTCATGTGCCTGCCAGTGGACAAGGGCCACGAGCCCTGGGCAGATACCCTGTCTTTCCTCATTGGAAAGAAGCCTTGGACTCAGGGCTTTGCAAAAGGTCAAGAAAGCTGGTCATATTCACTCCACCTCTTGGTGGCCGGCCAGGGGACACTGAAGACGGTTGGAGGGAGAGGGCCCCGCTGTGAAGGTCTGTCTGAGAAGGCAGGGCAGGGGCTGATGAAATGTTGGCAAGAATTTACCCTTCAGGATTGTTTCTTCAACAGAAAGATATTTCCAATGCCACATCCCTGCTTCTAGATAGTAGTTCAGGGTCAGCTTAGACATGAACCTGGTAGCAGAAGCCTCTAGAGCAAGTTGTATTTCTGCCCACGGCTGTTTGGAACATGTTCATTAGAGTCCTACAGATTGGGCAGGGCTTGACAGTGTCTTCCAAAGCTGGATCTGGTTCCAAGAAGGAAAAAGAAGCGAGGTGGCCAACCCTGATCCTAACCCAGCTCCCAGAGGCAGGAGCTTGTCACCTTCCCTGGCAGAGTGACAGAAGAGGGGAGCCCAGGGCCTTTGAGTGAGAGGGGACTTTTATCCTGCCCTATGGACTGGCTGGGGAATGGTGGTCAGGGACCCAGAAAAGGAAGAGAAGCAAGATGGCCCAGCAGGACCCACCACCACACACACATACATATTTTAAAAGTGAAGGGATAATATGGCTTTTTCATAAAAATCTCTAGCCACATTTCTTTTTCAACCCCATCCAATTTCTCCTAACCGTATTCTCTCCTGTTAAGCTGGGCTGTCCTGGAGAATGTGGTAGCCGCGTTTGACTCCCTACCCACTACCTCACCTATCAGAGGTGCTTCTGGGAAAGGAGTAAGACTGTCCCCCAGCTGCCTAGGACAAAATCTTAAGGGTCACCCAGAGGCGACCCTCCAGGGCTCGTTATACAAGGATATCACACTCAGAAGCACACCAGCATGGTAAAGTCCAGGCTCCTCAAAGTGCCCCGTATTTCCTTCCAGCAATTCTTGTCTTCTCTGTGCTCAGGGAAATACCCAGTCCCCAGGCATTTACTAGGGCTCAGCAGGGTCTGGAGGGGACAAGAGAAAGGGTGCCAGCCCGGGAGAAGCACAAATCCATGCCTCGTGGGAGTTTCTGTGTGACCTAAGCACACCGACCAGCACACGGGAACACAGCCTCAGAAAGACCTTCACCTTGCACGGTGGCTCTCAGCAATGTCTTATGAGTGATATAAAAATCTCGCGGGGGTATCCACAGGAGAAAATGAATGAGTGCCCATGGGAATTCAAGAACAGATGGGCCCCAAGCAAGACAGCCAAGCCAGATCTATTTGAAGCAGAGCTTTGCAAAGGAGTGAGTTTTGATTCTGGGTGGAAAATATTCTTAGTCAGCCTTGGGAGGAGGACCCATGAGTTCTTAGAAAAGCTCCCACAGCTGGAGAGCCTATGTCCCCCTCCCCCAGCCTAGCAAGAAGCTCAGTCAGTCGTCTTGTGGGTACTGACTGTCCTAAGTCTCATTCTCTGCCACCCCTTCTATCATCAGCTCATGCCGAAATCTCAGCGATAACGCTCACCCCCATCCCGTGGCAAACATTGAGTAGGTTCTCACTGTATATCGGCTCCCCTGTGCTAAGGGCTTTAGAGGGACCATCCCAGGTTATCATCACAGCAACTCTGTGAAGGGGGAGGGGGGGTAGTATCGATCTTCAGGTTTTATAGTTGGGAAAACAGAAGGTAGCATAGCTAATAAAGCATGGGCCCAGATCTGGACATAAGAAGTCTGACTGCAAAGCCCAAACTTTCAACCACCACATGCATGGCCCTGAGGACCTAAGAAGAGCAGTCCTCAACACCCAGGATCTGTAGTTTTATTTTGTCATATCTTTCTGTAGCCACCAAGCTGTTAGGGCAGCGCTCAGCAAATTACAGCCCTCGGGCCTAATCTGGCCCACTGCCTGTTTGTGTAAATAAAGTTTTATTGGCACACAGCCATATTCATTTGTTTACATATTATCTGTGGCTGCTTTCCCACTACAATGGCAGAGTTGAGCAGCTGCACACAAAACCTAAAATAGTTACTATCTGGCCCTCTGTAGAAAATGTCTGCTGCCCCCTAGATCATGGGCACAATTTTGCATAAGAAATGAATAGCCATCTAAAATGTGAGAGCATGTCTGAACCCCTCTCTAAGAAGTGAGAGGAGAGAGCAGCCTCGGATAGCATAGACAGTTATTTGGGAAAACTCCTGGGAGCAGGGGCCCTTTGTGGACATGTCCTGGGCCAGTGGGGTGGTGGTGGTGTCTTCCTGTCTGTCCCCTCCACTTATGGACAATCTAGCCTGCAGATTGGGGAGGTAGGCTTCATGGCCCTGTGAGCCCCAAGACACCATAACATTTCCTTTATTAAGGAACTAATAATAATTTTCAGATGCCCTCACTTGATGAACTAATGAGTGGATGTTGAGGAGAAGCATTATAAAGTTGTCAAGAAGGGACAGGGTGAGAGTTAATTAAATGAACCCCAGGCAAGCATGAGAAGAGGGCATCACCTGGCAAGTGATGCAGGCCACCACCTGAAGTTCAAGATTCTGGTAGGGTCAGTCTTTTCCTAGGAGTCTCCCTGACCTGGCCGCCCTGGGGATGGGGCTCCTTCCTCCCGCTGTGAGCTCCGTATGGAGAATGTGAGTATGAGTTGGGGAGATAAAGGTAAATACAAGGGAGGTACAAGCCCTTGGAGATGAAATCTTAAACACTGGGGACTGTCCTTGCTGTTCTTTGCTGGAGACTGGAACAGAGCTAGCCTCATGGAACCTTCAAGGCCCCTGTCCAGAGCTGATGGGTGGATTTCTATTGGCAGCAGGTGGACAGACATGAGCCAGTTGACCCTGGAGACTGGAACAGAGCTAGCCTCATGGAACCTTCAAGGCCTCTGTCCAGAGCTGATGGGTGGATTTCTATTGGCAGCAGGTGGACAGACATGAGCCAGTTGACCAGAAAGCCAAGTGACAGTGGAGTTACCCTTTTCCATCTCATCTACTCACAACTCCCTCAGCCCCTATGCCAGCATCACTTGCCAGGTGACGCCCTCCTCTCACACCCTCGGGATCTTTGTAGATCACATGGAGGGGCTGCCCCCTGGACCTGTCCGGGCAAGGGAGAGTCTCACCTGGGGAGAGCCCCTAAAACTGTCTTTCCATTGGACCCAGACAGACCCTGTTTCCCTCCGATCATGCGTCTGCTTCCTCTGCAGGTTGACATTCGGTTGGCTTGCAGTAGTTTGCAGCGTGCTTATTGAAGGCTTTTAATTTACATGTGTGTTTGTCTCCCTTGCTAAATTGTCAACCCACTGAGGCCAGGCACAAGCCAGGTATTGTACCCGTACCTGTCCCATTCTGCGTCTTCTTCCCTTTGCACTCCAATACCTGGTTTGGGCACAAAGCAGGCTCCAGCCAGCTGTCTCATCACGCAGCACAGCTCCTCCGTGTCCTGCAGAGGCAGGAGGTGAGAGGATCACAGTGAGCATCACCGGGGCCCCAGAAATGGAGTGACAGTGGCCACACTTAGAGAGTTCATAGGGAAGCTGAGCCAGAGCCAGATCTGTGTCACCATCAGGTTCTGCAGCTGCACTTTCTGAAGTTGCTTCTAGATAAAATGTGATATATCTGTCTCTGTGTCATAAGGGAGCAGAAACCAAAATGCACTGAGCACCTCACATTTGCTAGGGACTTTATAGGCATTATTAGGTCATTGGGTCATGTAGCAATCCTTCGTGGTAAACGTTATTAGCCTCAAGTTGTATGTAAGGAGCGGAGGTGTAGAAAGTAGAAAGCCTTGTGCAAAGTTGAACAGCTCAGTGGCAGAACTTGGGCCTTCCTGACACCCAGCCAGGGTGTTCTCTGCCTACCAAAGCTCTGTGAAGACAGAGCATCCCCCGAGGCCCAGGACAGGGTGACAGGGTGGAGGATCTGCGCCACTCCCGCCTGCCCCATGTGCTCTCCACCCACATGCGTGCCCTGACCTTCTCCTTCCTCCACCCATCACAGGCCTCCACCCGGCTCCCCAGCACCAGAGGGGGCTTTGGGTCCAGGCTGGGGGCTCCCATCTGTGTGGGGACATGTTTCCGGACAAAAGCCTTCATGTACCTTCTTGGTCTTTCAGGAACCTGGCCATTGGGATTGGGATCCAGAACTTCCCTGAGGGCCTGGCTGTCAGCCTTCCCTTGCGAGGGGCAGGATTCTCCACCTGGAGAGCCTTCTGGTGAGTGCTTCAGCGGCTGCCAGAGGCGGGGTCGGGTCTGATGTAAACTGCTCAGAATTGACCTCCCTGAGGGCTTTTTTCTGCAAGAACAACCACTTCTGACCTGGAGGCCAATCTGGGATTTCTAGTAAAACACCAATAACCCGGGTGAATATTGCACCCCAAAGTCTGGGGGACCTCAAGAAATGATCTCGTCTCCTACCTTCATCCTGTACATAAACCAGCCTGAATGGCTCTGTTTGCTATTCCAAAACCATGGATGGCCATGCCACATGCATCCAGTGTCAGGTTCTCTCCTCCTGGGATAGAGAGAAGCAAGGTGGACTTTATGTCTATTCTAAATGTCACATGCCTCAGCTTACACGCATAATACCAAGGCCTGTCCCCAAGAGTCCTTACCATCACTCTTCTCTGACTCCCGTCAATGTCAAGACCAGGACCATGGCAGTAGCATCTGGGATGGTGATGACTATTGCACTATCATACCTAGTGTTTTCATCTTCCCCAAAAGGCTTTCTAGTTTATTCTTTAATTCAACATCATTGGTGAGTCCCCATTTTTCTGAGGAGGGAGCCATGGCCCAGGGAGTCCAAGGACCAGCTCGAGTCACCAGGCTTATCAGTGGTGACTCTGAGACTAGAAATCTAATTCGTCGGAGACTTCTTGCCTCTTCACTCAGGACTTGGAGCCTCAGAACACTTCTTTGTTAAAACAATCGCTACTCTAGACTGTATGGTAAGAGCATTTAAAAGGACTGCTAATAACAACCATTTAGAAATGCCTTCCATTTTATAGGGCCTTGTGACTTACAAGTCCTTGCACATACTTAAATTATTTTATTCCCACCCTCCATTATCTCTTTCTCCATTGTTGGAGTCTGTGGAATAGAGGATTTGGGTGAGGACAGAGCAAGGTGGCCTTAGAGGTGTTTTTTAAACATAAAAGCCGTGACTGTCATTTTATACAGTTGAGGCACCGGGGGTGACAAGAGAAGGGTGTGGAGCATTTGTGGTATGCATCCAGACCCTGAAATGAAACTTTTTTTTCTTTCACTCCAGTCTGGACTTGACATCAGACCCACTTTCTCCTGAGGCAGCAAAGCCAAGGCCAGGAATTGCACAAACCAAAGAGCTGCCAGTTGCACTGGCCCCTGCGTGAAAGCCTAGGGAGCCAGGAAGCTGCAGCTCCTTAGGGGATTCTGCAGCAGAAATGGTGTCTTCCAAGTGCCCACCATCTGCTCCTGGCCAGGAAGAAGCAGGGAGGGGCTGGGAGTTCACGGTCCTTATAGGTTACCCTGGTTACCTTCCTGTCATCTGGGGAGGCTGTGTGGGAAAGACATCTCACCCCCATTTTACAGATGGAGGGATCGAGGCTCAGAAGCAGTATATCTTGCCAAATTCCCACTTGCAAGAGACAGTGAGAAAGGTGTCCCAACTCCTTGTCTATTGGTGTTTGACCTGTAGCAGGTGTCTTTTGCCTGTGGGCTCAGGCTGTGGGGTTCAGCTACTGGCTTATCTCCTGCTCTCAAAATTCTCAATGCTCATGTGCACTGTTGTTTCAATCAGAGCTCATGTGATTCCAAGCTGCAGAGACCCACGCTTGCCACCTTAAATAAAGGGATTTTTGAAAAGGGGAAATCTCACCTTAATCCAAGATGGGGGTAGGATGGGGGAAAGGCTCTCACCACAGACATGGCCAGGTAGGCCCACCTCTTCAGCAGAGGTGAATGGGTGCAGCCCCTTCAAATGGGGTGCAGTGGTGGCCTGACCCCCAAACATGCCAGGTACAGCTGTCTGTGGAAAATGTCCATACCAATCCCAACCAGTGTCCTATCACTCACTCAGAAGACAACATAGGCATCGACTGATGAGTGGACACCTAACAGATGGCAGAGCTGTACAACGGAATGCTGTTCATCCAGAAAAAGAAACGAAGTGTTGACACGTGCTGCAACATGGATGGATATGCTTGCAAAACGTTATGCTAAGTGAAATATGCTGGTCAAAAAGGACCACATATTACATGATTTCTATATATGAAATATCCAGAAGAGGCAAATCCATAAAGGGAAAGAGTAGATTAGTGGTTGTGAGGGGTGGGGAGGAGGGAGAAATGGGGAGCTACTAATGAGAATGGCATTTCTTTCTGGGGTGATGAAAATGGAATTATCTGGAATTAGATAGTCGTGATGATTGCACAACCCTGTAGATATCCTAAAACCCACTAAATATGTACATTAAATGGGTGTGTCATATGACATGAATTATATTATCAAATTATATATACCTTAATAAGGCTGTTATATTTTAAAAAGGACAATGTAGGAAACTTAACACTCTAAAGGTAATTGGGGGCAGGAGGTCTACTGTCACCATGTCACAGGGAACTGGGGAAGGAGAAGGAGGTTGTTAAAAAACGACAACATGCTTTTGCACTGCCGAGGTCAGATCTGGTGTGGAATGATGTGCATCATGTTCCCGGGTTGAACTGACATTGCAGTGTCTGCCTGGCTCTTCCTGCAGTGGTACCTGTCCCATTCTCTCCTTAGGTATGGGCAGCTAAGTGGCATGGTGGAGCCCCTGGCTGGGGTCTTTGGCGCCTTCGCCGTGGTGCTGGCTGAGCCCATCCTGCCCTACGCCCTGGCCTTTGCTGCTGGTGCCATGGTCTACGTGGTCATGGATGACATCATTCCCGAAGCCCAGATCAGGTTGGAGAGCTTCCCTCTCTATGCATCCCTGTCCCAGTCCCAGCCTGGGCTGGCCTCCGGATTTGCCTCTCCTTTCCTTATCTGCACCCCTCCCTGCCCCTCCCCAAGGTCAGCCCCACCCCCTCCCCAACTGTGCTCTCTGAAACTAAAAGAAAGAGGAGTGAAGGGCAGGTGGGGCAAGAGACGAGGTGCTACCAAGCAGTGGACCCACGCCTGCCCCCTGACCCCCCTGATGACGTAGACTGTCATTTTTGTATATTATCTATCTCTCTTTAGATTTTTCTGGGGCTGGAATGAGGGGAGAGGTAAGCTCTAAAATTTTAGCCAAAGTGATATATGTATGTTCTCTTTGTCCAGCTTGCAGGCCAGGGCAGGGGGAGGGCTTGCTTCATTTATTTTCATTCTTATAGCAGAATGATTTTTAGGCCAGTTTACAAGGGCAGGTGAAATGTCATTTTCAAGAAATAGTACCCACCCTTTATTATTCAAGTGTGGACTACAGAGCCATGATAGTGACCTTGGGCAAGTTGCTTACTTCTCTATGCCTCAGTTTCCCTACTAGTAAAATGGGGGTAATAATGATCCTGACCACATGAGGTTGTTGTTTGGAATTAAATGAGTTGATCAGTTTTCTTGGCATAGAGTAAGCCCCCAATAAATGTTAACCATCCTTAATAGTACAGGTTGAGCATCCCTAATCCGAAAATCTGAAATCTGAAATGCTCCAAAGTCCCACACTTTTGCTGGCATGACACTCAAAGTAAGTGCCAACTGGAGCATTTTGGATTTCAGATTTTCGGAGTAGGGATGCTCAACTGGTTAGAGTATCTGCAAAAATTCCATAACCCAAAAAAAATTTTTAAATTAAAAACACTTCTGGTTTGAAGCATTTTGGATAAAGGATACTCAACCTATAGTACCTTAGGAATTGGACATTCAGCCTAGACACAGTCTCAGGAGGCATTAAGGTCTTATTCTTCCTTTCTTTCCCTCCAGTGGTAATGGAAAACTTGCATCCTGGGCCTCCATCCTAGGATTCGTGGTGATGATGTCACTGGACGTTGGCCTGGGCTAGCGCTGAGACACTCTGGACCCCAGGAAAGGCAGCACAAGAAAATGGCAGTGGTTGGCTTCCATGGGACCACAGGCCTCTTTCCTCACATTAAAACATTTTTCCTTTCTCTCCTCTTTGTCTCATTATCCTGATTGACTCTGATTGTACATGACAATTTTTACTTTGCTTCTGAGGGACATATTGGTTTATTTGGAATCTCAAGGGGTCATGGAACTACAGATTTTTGTTTCGGCTGCTGAATGGAATCTTTCTTCCATGGGATTATCGAGGACATACAGATCAGGGAAATCTCTGCTTTCCTACCTTCAATCTCCCTCTCTAGAAGCAAGCTCTCAAGAGAAGTCTCCTGAGCATTTTGGACAAGTAACTCAGAGCAGAATGGCTGGCACATCTCTTGTCTTCCCTCCTGATCCTGAGCTGCCGTCCTCTGCCCATCTAGAATGCCAGAACTAGAGCATCACTAACATAACAACATACTCTCCAAGACTCAGAGCAGAATGGCTGGCACATCTCTTGTCTTCCCTCCTGATCCTGAGCTGCGGTCCTCTGCCCATCTAGAATGCCAGAACTAGAGCATCACTAACATAACAACATACTCTCCAAGTTCGCTCCAGTCCAAAGAGGAATACACCTTCCTCTCCCTCCCCTGAAGGAAAGACTGTATGGCAGAGGACACAGACGAAGGGATGGAAATTGGCTAGTCTTTCTTTCTTTCTTTCTTTTTTTTTTTTTTTTAAGGCAAAGATTGGCATTATTGAAGGTAAGGGAATTAGGGAATTAAGACAACTGTGAACACACAGTCCACACTGTGAAAAGAGGACACTGTGGCTTTGATCAGAGGCCTCTACTCTCTGTGGATTCCAAGAGCAAAGTGATTTGTTTATGGTTTCAAAATCCCTTATGCATTTATTTTGATAGGTTTATAGCCTTCATTTTTGTAAGAGACTTGAGGATACCAGCAAACTGCTAGAACTCAAACCCTTCATTTACTAACGGAGGGAGCCTCTTAAGTTAAATGAATGAAAGACATTTGGAATCTGCATTGGGTTGACCATTTGGTGACTTGTAACTTGACAAGAACTCTTGAGCTACAACAGACTTTGTTAGAGTCTGGCCAAAGGGCTTAGGTTGGGGAAGGAAGAAGGGGTATGAAAAGAAGAGATATATTTATATTTCCCTTTTAAAGTAAATTTTAGCAAAGTTATCGTTTTGAAATGATCCTAAAGAGTGACTTAAACTAGACTACCAGGGAACCTGCTCCTTCCTACGCATAGCTTCTCTAACCAGGGTGATGTGACTGATGTGCTTCAGACACAGCTAAGGCCTGCCGTCCTCAATGATCACAGAAGCATATGGGACTTTGAGTGGGCTCTGCTGAGAAGGCAGGCAGCCCAAGAGCCAGGTGTACTCAGGCATTGTGTTATCAGTGCCTGCTCTCTGAGTTTACATGTTTAATTGTTTCCAAGGGTGAATCTCCTGCTCTGAATGCTCTAAGACCCCAAAGGCCAACCTAGCTCTGGGTCTACTTTTCTTCTTCCAAAGCACTGATGATCAAAATTGAAGACACATTCAGAGGTTTGATTGGTTGAGATGAACTGGTTTGGTGGTTGGTGTATGTGTATGTTTTATTTTTATGTCTTTGTATGTAGTTCTACATAAGGCAAATTGTTCTTTCTGATGAACAAGACCTCATAACTGTGATTAATATCAATAAAGGGGATATTGTTGAGCATGACCTGTGTTACGTTTAGTCCTTCTCAAAGCTGCTTCTTTCCAGGGATAATACAAGGGTACTTCAAAAAGTTCATGGAAAGATTGTATTACCTTTCAATTCTATTTTTACAGGAACTTTCCCAAGTACCCCAGTATAAGAGCTAGCTAAAGTTGGAACTAACACCTCCCCTACCCAATATCAGTAGAAGCAAAGGAAAGAGCTCAGATGAGAGGGCTAGTCTGACTCTTAGTTGCAAACATCAGCATCCAACTTCAGCTTGCTTAAACAGAAAAGGAAATTAATGGAAGGTTATTAGAGAACTCATAGCATCTCACAGGAGAATCGGGCTTGAAAGTGGGTTGGATCCAAGAAAGCTAGAGACCTAGGACCATGGCCCAATCATACCTGAAGAACAGCTTGGTTTAGGTGACATGGCTCCCCCTGTGCTGGTCCCTGGGTACTGGACACTACAACTGAAACTGCTACCACTACCATGAGAATGAACCCTATACTGACCCTGATTTTTTGTGTCCTGGCTTCACATTCAAAGTTCTGCACAGCTGGCAGAGCTTAGATCCTATGCCTATGAACTAGCTGGTTTTGCCCCTTACCAAGACTCACATTGTAGTGGATTTTCCAAATTTGGGGATGAGTTCAGATGGTAGAGAGCCAAAAGTTTCTAAAGTTTATTACAAAATAAAAATGTTTATTAAGTTTATTACAGCCTCACTCTTTTGCTGTTCAATATTTCCTATTTTCAGGCCGACCCCGTGGCACAGTCGGGTGAGTGCAGCGCTGGGAGTGCAGCGGTGCTCCTGCCGCGGGTTCGGATCCTATATAGGGATGGCCGGTGCACTCACTGGCTGAGCACAGCGCAGGCGACACCAAGCCAAGGGTGCGATCCCCTTACCAGTCACATAAAAAGACAAAAAAAAAAAAAAAAAAAAGGTGTCCTATTTTCATTTAAAAAAAAACTTTCTGCTTAGAAAGCATAGTTATTTCTCACACAGTCAAAATATCCTCTTTCCAAAGGGAGCTACCCCAGTGCTTTGTCAATTCCCATATTTGGGGTCTCTGAGTAATGTCCACTCCTCTTCCAGCTGAGTCGCATTCCCATCTCATTTTTCTATACTCTTTGGGCAGACGTGTAAAGGTAACCATGAACGTGCACCCCATGTATGCTAGAACAAATAAAGGGGGAGGAAGGAAAGGCAATGAGTTAAAATATTTAAACATGCACGTGACACAGAAAGCAAGTACAAGTGAAGGTTACAGCTCTCATTTCCTCTTCTAGACAAGATACCCTGGGTCATCGTTGGCCTTCCCACTTCCAGTTTCCATTCCAGGCTCCTACTGTCTTCAGCCAGTGTCTCAGGTTGGATGGGACATGTCATTCACTGCCCTGGCCCCACCCCGCTTCCTGAGGCTACTAAGACCAAGATGGGCCTGCCTGCATGTGTGACTGCAGCAGTCTTCCTTAACTTCCACCCTGGGGACAGGCAGGAGGAGGGGGAAGAGGCTCCTGGGAGGGCCATTTGAGTGTCATTCATAGCTCCTGCCCTGGCCTGTCCCCACAGGATAGAAGCATCGGTATTTTCCCAGGATTAGTCACTGAAGCCAGCATTGTAACCCACTTTTGTGGCCTGTTCACCTAATGACATGTGAAACTCTAGATGGCCAGCTGACATGTCCAGACTGCTGTTGTATCTTTTTCTGCTGCACATCTACATGCACTCTAATTCCCCTATTTTCACTTTTTTAAAAAAAGTTCCTGCTTTAATGGAGCTATCCCTCATGCAATGAAAATGTCACATATCTCCTTTCCAAAGAGAGCTAGCCCCATGGCCAGCTGCCCCAGTGGTGGAGCATTCCTTTGTTGGATCCCAGTGGAGTACAAAGTTGGAGAGAACGAGTCATTACATAAAATGAAAGTGGTGCCATCCCCCTCCCCCAGACCTATTTAGTCTGTCTGTGGGAGAAACCACATATTGGTCACTGGTTTAGAACAAACATCCATCTTAAAGGATAATATCTCAACTTCGTTGAGTATTGTCTCTTAGTCCTGAAACTAATTCTCCAATAAATCATGATACAGTTCAATACAGATGACTGCTTCTGGGTGACAGGGGTCAAACTGCAAGGGTATCACCCATTGCCTTCCCTCTGTCACTGCAAAGTGAATTTCTCACTGAGAAGCAACGTCATATGGCATGCCATGACGATATAACGGGCAGTGAAGGCAATTCCAAAACCAGATATAGGAGCCCATTCCAGTGAGGAGAAATCACTGCTCATTCCATAGTGGAAGAAGTCCAGAGTAATCAGTCTGCAACTAAGTAGTTCCCAGTGTCCCTGGATTAACATCAGTACCAGGGGTCAGGGTCGTCACTGATCCTATGTGCACTCAGGGACCAGGTCTGCATTAATGACAATTAAATTTATCACAATTCCATCTTGGCCAACATGGCCACTTTTGTTCATGAATCAGTTGAAAAAGCAATAGGGTGCCTGGGGAAAGAAATTGTCACACATAGAGTAGATGGACTTGCCCACTTCATTACTAAGAGCCTCCTCCATAGTGGGGACTTTGGAGGAGTTCCTTTTATTCGAGGATCAATTATTTTCAAATTTGACCCATTCTGAGAGGTGAAGCCATTTATATCTCCCCAAACTTCTCGGTCACCAAACCTCCAACTTGCTTCTTTCAAGTTCTCGACATCTGACCAGACCATTTGTCACTGCTCATACCTGGGTGTAGCTTCCTGCAACAAACCTTTCCTTCCAAGCCAAGCAGACAGAGAGATGAGTCCCCACTGGGAGGTTTTCCCTTCACCTTCCTCGCTGGAACTTTACCATCACAGCATATTTGTAGGTCAGGCCAGCATATCACACAGAGACATCTGTCAGCTAGACTCAATGATTTTTCCTCCCTCAGTCACTGGTTCTTGGGAAACTCCTCCTGACACGATTTTTAAATCGATGAAGGGGTCAGGAGCAGACAAACAGGGAATGAGCTACCTTTACATGCAACTTACTTGTGCCTTCAGGACCTGGCCAGGCCCAGTCCCATACAAGCCATTCCCAACCAGTGCGAGATGACCCAGTATATGATGGACAGATTGGACCACAGGTGCCACTGGGTACATTAGGGATAATCACCTGGTGCCCAGTGGCAGTCTACTGAGGCTCTGAAGTCACTGCCCACTTCTCATGCTAGCACAGTAAATCCAGAATCTCTGTAACCAATGTCCATATCAATAACTTCAGACCAATTTTAAAATGATGGTTTTCCATCTATTATTAAGCACCCTAAGAATCCATTTCAACACATATTTTCCCCAAATTTATGACTACAAATTAGAGAAATCCTGAAATTATGGTGGTTTCTAATCCTTAT